AGAAGATGTGGTGTGATTGCCAATGAGACAACTCTCCACTGGAGGCCAAATGACGGCGAAGTTAGGAACTATAGGTCACCGTACGACCTTCAACAATGAGTAAAATCCATACCGCATAGCAAGCTAAGTTGACTTTAAACGTTTTGGCTGTTTTATCTGTTTTGTTAAGGCCTCTTTAGTTTTAATCCTCTCAAATGTTCCATTTTTTTGGCTTTCCAAAATTGTCGTCTCGAGCGTACCGATGAAGGTCATTCGATAAACATATCGTATGTCTTTTACTACAGCTGGGTCGGTACTGCTGCTGTTTGACTATCAGACCCCAGAAAAATTATTCGCTAAATAGCCAATGTAACAGTATTGGCATGATTAAAATGATACAACTTGTTTGTAAATTCGCTGTTGCGGCATAAAACGAATTATTGTGCCATAACTAAGGTTACAATTCTCACAGTCAAAGTTGACCTTAGACGTTTTTAGCTGTAATGTTTTGACCCATTTGATTTTTCTGCTTACAAACCTTATATATACATTTTTTTTTGCTTACCAATCGTTTAGTCTCGAGCGTAAAAATTATTCCATAATTTGGACCAGAAACACGTGTAGGGAGTATGGATACATGTAGCATATCATACGATTTTTAAAGCAGGCGGGAGGTGTAATATGTTAGACCCGTCTTTCATCCTTTTGATGTCGCCTGGTAGTCCTTTTATGCTTTTGAAATTTACTGATAACTTTTGATCAAAACACTGAATTGGTTAAATTATGAGAAAAGTCAAATGGGATACTATTTTAGGAAGGGGATTATTCAAATATCACACATTTTTCTTGTTTTCCTGGATGCAACCTTCATTTCTATTCGGCTTCTTTTAATAAAATGGATTTATTTTTTAGTTTGATTACCATTATCATCTAAAATGGGTAACCTTTTTATGGAGCGGTAGTTGTCCAAATAGTCTAAATAACGCCTTATATTGTTGTAGAATTCCTCCAATTGAATTAAGGTCCGGGTTCGATTATAGAGGTGGAAAACGGCAATAGTGTATCCGCAAATATTTATATGATCTCTATCTCTCCCATAAACAAAATAAGAGTGTTGGGGTATATCTCGTCAGTGGCTATGGCTAAATATCGCTTCGTTGTTTTTGCCTGTTGGTGTCAGATGTTTCATTGTCTCTGATGATTTTTTCACAACATAACAATATTCATTTTAAATCTTATGGTTTGTGTGCCACAACGCTATAGTATATGGCCCCTCTTTTTGTGATTAAGAATTCTTAATAAATTTCCTTTCATATTTAAGCTTATTATCCCTTAGTTTATGTGTTTTTGCTCTCAGTATTCATACAATCTTACAATAGCTGCATTTTACACTTGATATCCCTTTACTCTTATTTCTGCCTCGGACTTGTGGAAAAATAGAGACGAGTAACATCTGTAGACTATGGACTATCTAGCCAACTGAATATAGATAAACTTCTTGAATAAAACTAAGATTTCAATTATTTATCTATAATTTACCACTTTTTATGTAGGAATTTAGAGACCAATGGTCATTCACTAGTCGGTAATTTGGTGCAGTTTTCCTGTACATGTAAATTAAAGGACGAGTGCACCCAATTTCCACAATACATAGGTTTTATTTACTTACTATGGCGTCTACTATGTTATTATATAATTATTAAATAAATAGTTCAAACACGCATTAAAACCATTTAAATAATTGTTTAAATCCATATAACAAAGCATATGTTATAAAAGGAAACATATATCGGTTAAACGGATATAATTATGTTTTTCATAGTGCAGCGGATTTTCTGGGGTTAATGCCCTGTGATGTAAACATTTAAAGTATAAACGACCGATTTTCGTATGCAGCCCATGTCAAGATTATATATTTGCCTTCTATTTTATTACTTCACGTAGGTTTAATGTAAAAGGGATTCACAGCAAGGGCAGCTATGTGGTGAATAAGACAACAACCCAACAACCCAACAACCCAAAACAAAAAACAAAAAACAAAAACAACAACAACACCTAAACGCCAAAAGATAATAGGCATATATATATCGTCTTTTTAAAAATATACCTACAAGTTGGTTGATTGTTGTTTCGGTAACTTCCAGACATTGGTTCAGAATTCAAATACATTCCGTAAATTGTGACAGTGCAATACATGTACATATATTTCATATATACTGTCATTCATTCTACCAGATTCGTCGTTTCTTTGATTTATATTTCCGGAAACGTTAGTAAGAATCTGTTTGTTGAATAAAAAAAAAGATCGTCACTGTTATAGCTTGTATAAATAAATAAAAAAAAAAACATTTTTGAGTGTAAATCTAAGGATAGCATGAAAGATTTCCATTATAAATATTCCTATTAATTGGGACTGTATGCGTTTTTAATATAGAACAGTCAACAATAGACAAATATTACACAATTATTGTCTATAAATTGTTAAAAAAAACGTTATTTGTTGAAAACAAAAGGATTTGTGAATGATACAGTAGCCCAAAATCACACAAATTGACATACAAAATGATTTTCCGTGCCAGTTGACCATCAATACAAAAATTAAAAACCTTAAGTTTAAGTAGAATCTCTCATTTTTTCAGACCGTCATATCGGGACAGGTGGTATATAAAAACACAAACAGAAATAATTTATCAGTCAGAAAATAGGACTCATTGTCCGTTCTTAGTACGCTACTATCACTGTACCCATTTCAGACCCGTGAAGGAAACCTTCGGTTACACGAAAACAAGTCAATATGACGTCACTATAGTGGTCGAATTAACTTTTTTATATCCTTAGGTGTTTTCCTGCTTCGCATATATGAAAACAAACAATAACAATTTTAAATATGCAATTTAATAATAATGCAGAAAACAATATGAAAAAATCTGAATTCGGATTATAAAACGATAAATTGATGATTTTTCACAGAATGACTCATAACCACACGGTGATTGTACTATACAACCACGTGGATTTGTTTGTAAACAAAATGAATAGTTGAATGAAAGGTTAGCACAAATACGATCAATATACAAACAGCATAGTATGGGCTTTCTTTCATTCATTGAACACGCCGATTGTGCATGTCCAGTTAACTCGGTTACAAAAGCAGGTCACTAGGGAAACAAGATCACGAGATTAAATCAATTCACGTTTAAATGCATGTGCGACCTAAGAAGATATCTCAAGATTCCGGCATTGTTAGAATTGAAATGACACAGAAAAATATATTATCTGTATAACTTGTCTTTTTTATGATAAGAAAAGAAAGAAACAAAACTTCAAATGAGCCTGTAGCACTTATCTAGTCGATCCATAATGGCGGGGGTACCGAGGTAAGAACTCCTCCTTTTTTCAGATTTTTTTACCAAATCACGTAAAAATCGACAAAATTATCACCTCTGTTAAGTTTGTAGTGAATAAAAAGATTCTAAATTTCAGAAGACACATTAAAAAACATAATCTTCAATTAAAATTAATAATTGCCTCTGACTTTGGTTTACCCTTGCTAGATGGAAACAAACAACGCACTTTATATAATAAAATAACATTGATAAATTGTCTAGTAATTTTTTTACAAGTCATATCGTTTCAGAGAAGAGATGAAAATAGGATTCTAAATATGGTTCAAAGGAAACCTATTTGTATTATTGGCGCCGTGCATGGTCAGCAAGAAACGAGGATTTTGTTATAGAGGATTCCACAATTGTCATTCCCATGAATTCTGATCAGATTTGGTCTTGAGAAACGGATTCATCAATCCTATGTAAAGTTAAAAAGATTTTGTCATGTATTTCGGAAATGCTGATTTAAAAATTGATAATTTATAATAAAGAATTGCTCATATGGCAGCTAAGTTTTTTTTTTAATTTTAAACAAAGTGAGGATATTTTAAAAGAAGGTTTTTCAAGTTTGGTCAACATTGGCTCGGTATTTTCAGACGGTCAGATTAAAAAGTGAAAAGCTAACGGACGGTTGATGGACGGTAATAGCTCATGTTATACTGGCCCTGTGTGTTTTTGGTAAACTAGAGAGTGCCAAGAGTTCTAACTTTTTTTTTCGATTTTTGTTACTAGTACGTTAAACGTACTAGATATATATTCCCTCATATAGCGCAGTAGTCGTAAGTTACTCAAAATATGTTGTACGTACTACTACTAACGAAGTACAAAAAATCAACCAAATTGGATGTAAAATAAAAATTGTGCCGATAAACCACCACAGCTGTATATCATAATCTGATTGAACAACGCAGTCATGGATTCGCACCAACCTCTGAAAATAAGTCGAATGTTTTGGAGATAAATCAATTAAATGAGCCACGGTGCCGTTTTATCTCGCGATTAATAAATATTACATAATATTACATATTAAAATCTGTCCTGGGATTATTATAAAAAAGACTATAAAACCGAGACTATAGAGATAATTATAGATGCATTACAATGAAAATATTGATTTGCATCATCACTAGCCAAGAGTTACGATCCGTGCTCTCCTTATGAGGGGCCGCGGATCGTAACCCTGCCCTTGGCAAACGAAGATGTGCCATTTGTAACTCGATTCCATGTAAATATTATAAGGGGCATAAGGATTAAAATGGACACGATGAAACGACATACGGATGACAACGACAATCTTGTCACTCGGCTGCAAAAATTGTGCATTCGCATAAAAAAGTTTACTTAGTGACATGCATCCATTTAATACACGTGCATGCGTGACGAATTTCAAGAATAGTTCGGTCAACGCGCAAAAAGAGTGATTGAACTCGTCGGTACCTTGTGACAGTTAATTAATATTAGTAATTTGCATAAGAACGCAAATGACACTTGTTTTGACCGATTTTTATTTTTCTCACACATCGAACAGATGTTTACGTAAACAAAAGCACATGGTTTTGTGACCTAGTCTTGAACCTAACACAGCCAATCAGATATCGCCAAAACAACAATATCAGGTCAAGGGTTTAATAACATTTACTGGATATAAATAGGGAGAACTTGGAAAGTATTTTCAAAACATTGTCTAGATTTGAGGAATAAACGTTAAAAATTTGCAAACTAAATAAACACGATGAGAATTGTAAGATTTCGTGCTGACAGCGAGGAAATGTATTATAGTGGTAAATATTATTCATACTTCACCATGTGTTACACGAGGAAACAGTTTATTACATTTATTTACTCGTAATATCTAATTCAGTGATATTAAATATTGTGGTAAATATAATAACAAATTCTGTAAAATTCTATTGTAGATACAGGATCTGATTATGGAGATAGCAGTGACGAAGAAAGCCTTGAGCAGGTGCACGAAGTAAGTTGTTTCTCTTTTTCAATCTCTTTTTTTAAATGTTTTCTTTATATCTAATTAGTAGTTTATTTCTACATAGTACATATGCAATTATATCGGTTTGTTGTATTCATCATTTTTTCTCTCTAAATCGACTTATTTTGTTTCCATTAAAAGATTTTAACCTTATTTCAGTTTTATTTTTATGGCACTGAATATATATCTGAATGCGTGTGGTAATTCAGTTTTTTTTTATACAGCCCGATTTTGGGATACTGTTTGACGTTGATGGGGTGTTAGCTAGAGGCCTTAATCCTTTAGACCCAGCCATTCGTGCCATCAATAAGTTGAAAGACAGCGAAGGCAATCTGAAGGTTCCTGTAGCTTTTGTCACCAACAGTTGTAGCAGAAGCAGAGACAAGGCTGCAATGTTAGAACGATGGTTCGATACACCGGTAAATAGTTTACAATTTTCCCCTGACATTTTAATAATTTTTAAAATATTTGTTGAAGTTTCGAGAAAGACAGCAAATGAAGTATCGTTATATAACCGAACAATGAATTGTTTACGTTATTAATTATCACACATGCATGTATATAGTTATTAGTTTTAAATCTAAGTTTTTAACATATCAGAAAAAGATAACAAAGGTTTTGCCTTTTCAACAGAAATAATAATCACATCAACACATCAATGTTCGATGCATATACATATCCCACAGTGCTATGAACACATTTGTCATTGTTAAATTTTTGATAACTTTTTAAAGGTATCCCCAGAGGCATGTATCCACGCTCCAACTCCAGCCAAACTTCTAACAAACTTCCACAACAAGCATGTGTTGGTTATTGGACAGGAACACAGAAAAGAGATCGCAGAAGAGTATCCTTTTATTCTTTAGTAACCAAGCCATTTGTTTGTAGGTATAAAAATTAGATTGTTTTGCAAAACGAAATATCCTATGGAAAATTACAGAACATGAAATTTTATAAGAGGACATAAATGCTACCCTCCACTCTTTATTTAACTATTGCACAGATAGTACAGACGTGTTAATATTTACAGAATATATAAATCGCATATTACTATAGTTATTAAGTTTCCTTAACACAGCAATCAGAATTGGATTTAGAAACACTTGTACAGTAGAAGATGTTCGACGGGCCTATCCATTCTTAGATATGGTGGATCACGAGAATAGAAGAAGAGTGGTAAGTTGTCTTATATTAAAAAAATACGCTTACGTATTACGACTCTAAATTAATGCAATACATAAATAACAAAATTTTTGGAAAGGAATTTGAATGCAATAAACAGGAGTGAAAATGTGGAAGTACGTATATTTGTAAAATGTGACAAAATGCCACGAATACACATCGTTTAAATATATCAGTGAAAGTTCATTATTTGATTACAGTTCAGTTAGTTTGCTAGATGTCGTATAGGCCAACGTTAAATGGTGCTTTTTCAACAAGCCAGGAACCTGTAATCTAGCTGTGAATTTTTTGTTTCACATTTTGTCTTACCGGGCTCTTTTATAAATCTCTATACGATATAGATTTTGCTTATTGTTGAAGGCCGTACGATGACCTATTATTGTTCACATCTTTGACCTTTGGTCTTTATGGATAGTTGTCTTAGTTTGCAAACTATCACGTCTCCTTATCAACATTATCTGGTAATGATAATACTTAAAAATGAATTTGAAATTTAGATAAAAGGAACACTTTATTAATTATTAGAAAACAATACTATAAAAATTTCAAATTTTAAATGAAATGTCATAATAACCAGTGCAACAAGAAAATGTTCCGATGATTTTTACATTGGTCTCTTCTGTTTTTCAGAGTGTTGGTAACTTCTCCGACAATCTAAACTTCAAGCCAGTAGAAGGTGAGTATTTAATGCTTAATGTTTGTGCCAAACTAAATAAATTACAATAGCTCTTGTGATCTTGTGAGGATTTCCTGATTAAACAATTGGTCCCCCTATATATTAACCAATAAATGAAACAAGCCATAATTACACGGCGTTTAAAAATACAAGTGAAAGTTCATCATTTGATTACAGATCCCGTTTACACTATTGGTTCCCTATTAATCAATAAATTTGATTTTAATGTTTTAAATACCGTTTTGCCTAAATCCGTTACCGGTAATTTCCGGAAATGAACATCAATTAAAAAGGTTAATGAATTTACGTTTACATTTTAGCAATATTGCTGATTGGAGAGCCGAAGAGATGGGAATCAAGTCTGCAACTCTTAATAGATCTGCTCATGACAGAAGGAAAACCTACAAAAGCACCAGAATCTTTATCTCAAGTTAAACAATTACCAATCATTGCTTGTAACATGGACTTAGTTTTCATGGCTGAAGCCTGCATGCCAAGATTTGGACATGGTGCTTTTCTGGTGTGTCTGGAGGCTCTGTATAAGGTATGCAAATAATGGATATGGATTTTCTTCTTTCACTTTCTGTAGATTGGGTCAGGTTCATTGGTTCAGTTCTCAACAAATTAACCAAGGAATATTTGAAATGACATTATTATATGACAGATTCAATGTATTAAACAATGATTTTAAAATGTGAATGTTTTAAGTCCTTTTTTATGCAAATAAGATATTATTTTAAAATAATAATTTATGACTTAGAAAGAAATATTGAAATACTCTTCATTATTTTGTTTCCAGAAAATAACAGGAAAACCTCTTGAATATGAAGCATTGATAGGGAAGCCGTGTGAAATCACCTACAGATTTGCTGAACACACAGTTGCTGACCTGGCAAAAAAAATGGGAATCAAAAAGCACATCAAGAAACTTTACTTTGTAGGGTAAGTGTGTTTTAGGTTTGCTTTCTGATATTTTTATTGTCTCTTTTATTTGAACTTTCTGTTATATATTAAATTTATAGAGTAGTGAAGTTTAAAAAAAAACAACTTCATAATTTTTTAAAATGTTGTAAATAGCTCATCGATTGACATAGACTTATACTGGCTTCACACGTCAAAATAAGAAATGCAAAAATGATACCATACCGATTGTTTTATACCACAACATTAAATCGAAAGCAACAAATCTTATGCCAACTTGACGATTAGAAAAATAAGAAATAATTTAGGGAAAATGTAATAAGCCTGATATAGGACACATCGTGTTATGATTTCACATGTTCACACTTTTCCTTTCCAGAGATAATCCAAATGTAGATATTGTTGGTTGCAATCTTTACGAGAGATTCCTAAAAGACTCGTGGATTAACAGACGAAACGGCAATAGAAATAATTCAATAACACGAACCTTACCACGATCACGATCAATCCCGTGTGATGTGACATTATATGAACAAACAGTTACATCCATGGAAAGCCTTTTAGTTGGCACGGGAGTTTACAATCCTGAGAAGGAAACGGAAACTACATCATCGGAAGATAAAGTATATCACGGACATAGAGATATTGCGCATGAACCAGAACTAGCCACACCAACGCGTTATGTTGAAGATGTAGATCAGGGAATTAATTACATTTTAGAAAAAGAACATTTTACAATTACAACTTAATCTCAGAGACTTACTATATCAGCTAAGTGATTTCTGAAATACCAGAGTCTTTCCGTTCATGACAGATATAGGGCATTGAAGGCCTGCATATAATTTCCATGGCACATCAGTGCGATTATGACTCCGCGCGAAATAACACTGAAAGAATTCGGAAAGAATTCGAGTTGTAGAAACAAAAGCAGGGACTTGTTGAATTTGTACATAAAAGTATACTATTTATTTTGTATATTCACTTTTTTGTTTGACAATCAGTAAACATGGCTTTAATGTGTTTCTATGCTTTTTTTATAAGTTGTATATTTTTACGTGTATTAAAGTGTATTTAATTTTTTAAGGATAAATATATTATTTTAAGAAGTTTAGTTATTTAGAATTTTTGATAATAAAAGAAGATAAATTTAGTCAGTGTTTAAATTTAAACTCCTGATACAAGTTATATAGACCATGTAACGAATATCTAGTTCATATTAAACAACTAGATCTACTACAAATGCGAAAATAAAGGCCACCATTCCACGTCAGTCTGAGTATAAAGATAATGTCATTTTATTTATTATGAAATATGGAGATGTGGTATGACTACCAAAGAGACAACTATCCAACAGAGTCTAAATGACGTGGATTTAAGCAACTACACAGTACCTATTCTGCCTTCAACATAAAGGAAATCCCATACCGTATAATCAGCTATGAAAAGCCCCGACATGACAATGTATGAAATAATTCAAACAGACAAAAAACAACGGTCTGATTTATGACAAAACAACAAACGCAAAACAAATATAACAGACAGCAACCAACAAGAATAGTTCGTTTGGTGACTGAGGATCACGTATTTTTTTTTATTATATACCACATAAATTAGATAAAGGATATTACATATCTATGGTTCTTATTTCATGTTTTGCTTTATTCTGAAACTCGACAGGAGGGTGGATTGAGAAATTTACTTATTTATAAGGAATTTTTGCTAGTCCCTGTGTAACAATTATCAGCTGTGTTCTATACTTAGTCTAGGGGCTATTTAGAGCTTGATATATTGTATAAACACCTGTCTATATAATTGTTGATCTCTTGATTTCATTTTGTTTGGTTTCTGTCTCATTGGCGTTTACCCCATTTCTCCTTTTATTCATATTTTCTACATGAGAGAGGTCTTTATTTTCTCATTTTGAACTTTCCATTTTAAATAACATTTCTAACAGCATTCGCTTATAAATTATATCTCTCAGTTGATGCTATATTAACAAAGCCTGTGTTTTCTCGTCATAATTTCCTGAAAGCGCATTTGTTCTTACAAGGACGCTACTTAACCAGGGTTCTTACTGGTAAAGTTGAAATCATCTCTCTTCAAAAGTTTTACCGACTCCTAAGTCAACCGTCATGTAACAGAATGTCAGTGTCAGATAAGGTTTGTTCATTGTTTACGTCTTATCCTCACTTAGAAACATATCACCTAATACGACTTATCACATGCTTTTGTACTTGTCATGAGCAACGGAAGTCAGTCGTTCACCCGACGTATTGGTGGTGTTCGTAATGCTCATTCTTATGTTTCAGTGACGATGTTTTTTTTAGATTTGTTTGTCTCTAGGACTTGTTCGCTTGGTGTTTTATGCCCAGCGGTTTATAAATTTGCACCTCCTTTTTTTTTCTTTTTTTTTCTTTATTATCTCATCTGACCCATAAGACAGAGCGTATATATGTCATTACTTAACGTCTGTCGTCGTCGTTCATCGTAAACTTTTTTTAATATTCGCTGAAACCAAGAAGCCAATTGTTTTGAAACTTGACAGTAATGATGTGTGACGACGTCTGCTCAACAAACGATCATCATTAGTCCCCTACCAACAAAGCTGATTTGCCGGACTGACGGATGGACAGACGGACAGACGGACGGATTACAAACCTAAAGTCCCCTTAGACTTCGTCGGTAGGGGACTAAAAATGCTGAACATTATGAATTGCTATCTTAGACTTACGTTGCTGGTGTGTACAACCGTATTAAGCCAATATTTAGAGGTATTTTTCAGTACAACATGGAACATTGACAAATAATCTATCATTTACACAAATTGAAAGTATATCGAATTTTTACTCTTGAAAACCATCTTATTGGTCATGAAAAACAAGCTTAAAATTTTATCGAAAACTTTTCTAAATAACTCAAAATTTCTTTTGAACATGGTAACAGGTGAGACAAAATATTGCACCACCTATCAAAAAATGTTTCAATATATTTTTTTTTTGTGTTAAATAATCAAGATTGCATCTTTCTATATGTTAATTGTTCCATAGGCATTGTTTTTTTTTGAATTGCTTATGAAGAGGGTGGTTTTAATTAGTAATTTTTATTTAATTTTGCAATTTCAAAATTCGACATTTTTTTAAAATGACCCATATATGTCTCTGGTTCTAGTTACCAAATGACAAATAGGTTATGTCAGAGACATATATGCAAACAAATTAACCTGAACATGTACAGAAAAAAAATTAAAATAACATACAGTTGGACATACACTTTTCATAAAAATCTTCACATGTATTGTTGTTGACCTATCACGTATATTCACTGAGAAGAACACCTCATTCGACACAGTTAACCTGAATGGTTACTGATGCAAGAAAATGAGGTTAATAACAGGTGATAACTCACTAATAAATGTCTCATCATGTGTTACCGGCAGTATGCAAGGGTGACCGTGCATGGTGAACTTTTGGATAAAACATGAACATATTTGAAACTTTGATGCTGTCACATGAAAAATCAGACATAATTTGCCTCATTTTTCACAACTAAGTGGCAGACAACATTTGGAACATTAACATTACTCATCACAACAAAACCCGATACAGTAGAAACACTTCTTACTTTTTAGATACTGTAACAATAAATATAAACTGCCCATTTAAGCATGAGAAAACCCAAAACGTTTCTGGAATAAACTTCGTTACCAAAAGTTTGGAAAAGCCAAAAAAAATAAAAACGTAAAACGTATGAGGGCATACAACCATAAGGGTCTAAAACAGCCAACAGCGATTTTCGTCCCTTATTGTTAATTTCGTTTTTTTGGACGGTGACTTCCTTTAGTCCCGTCTTACGGTGTTGATATATCCAAACTCATTCGCTATACCCGTGTCTGTAGTGACGCTTTGGATGTCAATGAATCATGCATTACTGGTAAATTATCAAGTCAAAAATTTCAATACCACAAACTACTTAAAACCTTTACTAAATTCGTTCATAGATACAAAGATGCGGTTTGGAAGTTTGACTGTACCTGTAGAAGAATTATTACAAACGGGATAGCACATCCAAATTTTACGGTAGTGTTGTTTATCGAGCCCGTAAATATAGATACGATTAGTGTAAACTTATCGATCATTCAAATAAACTTATTCTGAAAGGTTACCAAAACTGTAATTAGATGTTTGAAAATTGTTTTTTCGGTATAAATATTGATTTTGTTATCAATAAACTAAAACCCAATTAGATATTATTGCTATACACATTTGTACATTCATGGTCTTACAATCTGTCGCTACTTATATTTTGGCAATGCACAAGGTCATGTTTTTCTCTGACTGTTCATGACGTCTTTAAACTAAATCCATTGGATGTTGGATGTGAAAGGATTGATATTTTAGCACAAGATAAGAACAAACTATAAAAATCAGACAGTTGAAAAGGATTTAACTCATCAGGCCGATACAAAGCACAAGACAACTAACAAAAACATGATGAAGAAGAAGACTGATCTGAGAGTCCTCGCTGTTACTCAAAGCTAGATCAAAGCTAATTACAAATAATAATAAAAATCATGCATCTAACACCACTCTCCAAGGTTAAGGAGTGGGTTTGGCGCCAGCAAACATGTTTAACTCCGCCACATCCTGAATGTGCCTGTCCCGAGTCAGGGGCCTGCAATGCAGTGGTTGTCGTTTGTTGCTGTATATTATATTTGTTTTTCGTTTATTGTTTTCTACATAAATACATCTTCGCTAGCCAAGGGTTACCTGGATCGTAACACTTGGCTAGCGAATTTTAAATAAATCAGGCCGTTAGTGTTCTAGTTTGAATTGTTCTACATTTGTCATTTCGGAGTCTTTTATAGCTTGCTATATGGTATGGGTTTTGCTCATTGTTAAGGGCCGAACGGTGACCTATCGTTGCTAACTTCTACGTGATTTGTCTCTTGTGGAGATTTGTCTCATTAGCAATCATACCACATTTTAAAATTATCATTTTTATTTAATCTTTACACAGATCAAATATATATACAAATATTTTGAATGTCTACGCCTTTAAATGAAAACCGGTCAATTTCCATTGTTTTACAGGACCGGAAACGTACAGTGCATAAAAGACAAAAAAAGATCTTTTTGGCATTACACCTAACTGTATCTCGCCTCCTACTATTTTCGTTGCAGGCTATTGAAAAATAAATAGGGAATGTGTCCATAGGACACAGATGATGCCCCCGCTTGCATACAACGTTATAAAGGAACATTATAGCTCAAGAACGGTAAAAGTGACGCTACCCGAATTCGTACTTGATCTGAGTTTTGTTGTAATAAGCATTATGTATAAGTTTCATATCATTTGGTTGAGGCTAACTTAAGTTAGAGAACGTAAACGAAAAATTCAGCATTTTTCCAGTTGTAAAGGGGCATAACTCTAGAAAGGTAAAAGTGACGCCACCCAAATTCAAATTTGATTCTGTGGTTTTTGGTAATACGCATTGTGTATAAGTTTCACATTTGGTTGAGACAAACTAAAGTTAGAGAACGGAAACCAATTTCGGGACGTACGGACGGACGTACGCACGTACAGACTGACAAGGGTAAAACGTATTGCCCCCTCCGCTACGGCAGGGGCATAAAAAGCATATACAATGTATCCATACTATTCTATGTCTGAGTCTGAAAATAATCGATGCATGTATTCTTAGGTCTAAATATTTTCTTGATAGTCAGAAGGAACATGAACTACGAGTGTCAGAGAAAACACGGAACAGTACTATACCATAAATAGATCCAACGACAAAAACATGATTGAAAATTAAAAAATATTTATTGGTAAAAATGAGATTGCTTTGATTATCTTTGGCCATGTTAGAGAATATTTCAATAAGGCAGAGTCTGTTTATGATTTCTCCCTTTCTTGTGAAAATATTTCATCATCATCTAATCTATCGATTGTTCCGAAAGATCCAGCAGATTCGATGATATCTGAAAAAGATATATACTAGTATAAACTTAGTAAGCTAAAAATTCTACAATTCTTTAATTTACAAATAAATAAATAAATAAATAAATACATATGTCGTGTACAAATTTCGATTTTGTACATGTTATAACATGTTATAACATGTACAGAAATATTTTGTATATAACATGAACAAGTTAAAACCATTTTGAAGCAATATTTTGAACATGTTATAACATGGACGAGGTACTTTTGTACATGTTATAACTGGTACTTTTGCATTGTACAAGTTATAACATGTACAATATTTCTGTACATGTTATAACATGTACAAATTTGCAACTTGTACACGAGATATACATACATAAATAAGCATGTGCATAGAGGCATAATCTGATTAAAATTCAGACCTATATTAACTCATATGAGGATAACGAAATCAGAGATTTATATTTTGATTAGATTGGCAGAGGCAATAAGCAAAGAACATTTTATAAAAAGTATACATTGGTATTCAATTGCTTATTTCACCAAGGGTTGACTGGAGTATGTAATGTGCATCCGACAATAGCCCTTGCTTGCATGAGACGTCCGTTTGACTGTGTGGGGATGTATAAATACACATTCACCATCGCAATAGGAGTGTTGAATCTAATATCCCGTATAGGATGAGTACCACACTTTCTGCTCGTTAACGAACCCTATCAACAACTCACCAAAGGGTCCGTTGGTGGCCAGTTGAAAAGTAAAATTTCTGCCCATATTCAAAATACCCATATTTTCCAATCAGTGGCAGTCAATATTTTCCGTCCTTCATCCTGGTCTACCCATATTGCAGAACCTATCTGTTGTACACATTGTTGATTTGTTTTCGTCCTAAATATGCATGAAATATTTGCCACTGAACGTTAAGCAAGCAACCATAATTTAACCGAGCTTGTTTACGAGGATTTTAAGATAAGAATAGCCTCCGATATATTATTAAAGTAATATTCATAAATGGCAATGTCGATATGATTTTGAAAACATTCGAAAAAGCTTTTTTTTTCTTTTATGAATCAAAACAGAATACATGGTTACATATTCATTGTGTACTGAAGAATATCAAATCCTGTTGACGGGTTAGGAGAAGTCAACAGAATGTACTGAAGAATATCAAATCCTGTTGACGGGTTAGGAGAAGTCAACAGAATACATGGTTACATATTCATTGTGTACTGAAGAATATCAAATCCTGTTGACGGGTTAGGAGAAGTCAACAGAATACATGGTTACATATTCATTGTGTACTGAAGAGTATCAAATCCTGTTGACGTGTTAGGAGAAGTCAAATTTGATACTATCGATTGAAATAACCGGTGGTCTGTGACTTTGAGATAGAGAACAGCAAATAAAGTTGTCTCTTTGCTTTAGTTTTACAAAGTGTACGGAGAGATTTTAATGCACCATATGCTTTGTTTTCTATTAGTATTAAAAGAGAATTATTTTTTTATCTATTGGAAATAAAAAAAACATTTTTGTCCATTTAACAAGTGACACTGTCAGGCAATTCTAGCTAGACCAGTTAGCATTAGAAATGTCTGTAGAAACTAATAAATGCTCTGAATTAATTGTTTACCTTTCATATACATTGCATCGATTTCATCTGCTATGTCTTCTCTTTCTTGTAACTCAGTATAACTTTGCCTAGTTTTCTGTCCTTTTTCAGTAGGAGGACCACAACAGCCACAACATTTGTATAAAAATCGCAATATACATATTTCACAATATTTTATAGTGTAAAACAGAACACATGCGACCCCGAATAGAAAACAAACTATTCCAAGGAAGGCTGGTAATATCCAAATCAGATCTTTGTGCGCGTTTGGTTGTTCAGTGGTCAAAAGGTAACCATATTCGGTAGTAATGGTCATATTTACTAAGTAAGATGGATTTGTTGTCCCATTAAACATGTCATGGTAAGACGTATTTGTTGTCCCATTAAACATGTCATGGTAAGACGTATTTGTTGTCCCATTAAACATGTCATGGTAAGACGTATTTGTTGTCCCATTAAACATGTCATGGTAAGACGTATTTGTTGTCCCATTAAACATGTCATAGTAAGACGTATGTTTTGTCTCATTATACAATTCGTTGTATGTATCGGTTGTTGCGTTTAAAGCGAAGGTTCCTGTTGAATTTCCTAACATTTTTTAAACGTAAAATTCTAGGTCGACTCAATCATCTGCAAAGAAAAAAAGGAAACTTCATATGAAAATACGTTGTCTCTAACAAATACATTATAAAGAACGAGGATATATATATATATACATTCTCAATTTTATTCTTAAATGTTTATCAGTAATCTGAAATACATAATAAAAAAGGTCACAAACTTGTTATTCCATATCACTGGTTCTGCATTTTCTGTCGATTCGACTTGCAAAAAGGTTCGTGCATGCTATCTAATTCCGGACTCAAAGACATTCCGTTGTATTGAATAATGTAGCATATTTGAACTATGAGATTTGTGTTTGTCGAGTCATTGTAAAGAACTTTAAGCTGCCCTATATCTCTCTCTATGTTTTATGACAAGCGCTTGGTGCATTTACTCATCCCCTCCTTTTTCTTTTTATTTCGGTGTTTAAGTTTTTTAGTAAAATTTTCTTTAATATTTCACCTTATTTTCCATTAATGAATGTGTCCTTCTTATATTATTCCAATAACAGTAGTTTATATACATGTTACAGAGCGATGCCAACGTGGCAGTTAGTTTTACTCTACTATGCATTTTTCCCAGGCCTGCAACATGTGCAAACAAAATCAATCTTAGACGCTACCTAGATGATAATTAATGAAAAACGTTTAATTCAACTTACTATTCATGGTTTTTCTAATTGTTGTTCTTCAAAATCCAACTGACATAAAGTTCTTTTTTCAAATATTATGGTTCGTCTTCAGTGACCCGTTGCAAAGTGCGTTGCACGTATGTAATTTGATCCATGCATTTTTTGCGAAACAAAACGCTTTCACACAGACAAAACCTAAATAAAAATCAGTCATAACAATTAACATATGATGCAATTTGAGTCAAAATATGAGACAAGAGGCAAAGTTAAAAGTACTTCTGTTCACCTGTCGGTTGCATGCTGATAAAGTGTTGATACCCTCGATCATCTATCAATAACTCACTCAGCAATTTATTAATCTTTGGATATTGTTTTCGCTATTAGATAATACATTTGATAACTGATTAATATGTCAAAATTTGGACACATTTGCATTTATGCACATATGCCTTTTTTCATTTTTTCATATGATTTTTATTAACCGAAAGGATTTTGTAAATCATTTTAATTTATTAGGGAGCTACCATTTGTTTTTTGTGGGGGGCTAGGATGAAAAATTTTGTCCTGCATTTTTTTTTGTAATCTCTGTTCTGCCTTTTAATTTTTCACTCTATTCGGTCCTGCCGTTTTTCGTTTTTTTTTTTAATTTATCCTGACTTTTTTTTACATAAATTGTCATCCTACCTTTTTTTTTGCCAAGTTGCTCATCCTGCCTTTTTTTTACTCAAAACTCCTGTCCTACCATTTTTTCAAATTTCATCCTAGCCCCCCATAAAAATCAAATGGTAGCTCCCTTAGAGAATCAAACGAGTCAAATAGGTTTCTAATTGTTTAAAATTTAATCACAATGTGCATACTGCATGTCGATTGTTTACGTCATCATTTTGACGTTCATATACATAAATTTACTGTATTGTATTGAATTGTATGCATGCTTTATAAAAATTCTAGTGTTACAAATTGTTTACGGGATAAGACTTTATAAGTTTACTTAACATGTCCAACACTTTGCATGTTTCAGCAAATAACACATATTTAAGGGGACGACCATTTGATTTGGGGGAGGAGCATTTTGAAAATGACTTTCCTGGCCTAAAACAGGATGAAAATGAATATTTTACAACTCAAAATGCAGACAACAATTTTGTACAAAAGTGAAAATATATAGATTAGAATAAATAATCAGTCCGCAAAAAATCTTCCCGCCCACTCCAGAATACCAAGTGGTCGACCCCTAATCTAAAAAATAAACGGTTAGGAGAACAATACTTAGTCTGGAGCATCACAGAGGCTGTTTCCTTAGCCTCGTCAGAGACTGAAATTGTTACATTTGAGATTCTAAGATTTTCCTGTGTTTGTAAGGTAATCTAACATTAATATTATCAATAATCCATGAAAATGAGGTCAATGTCAGATGAACCATGCCAAAGACATGTACACCTTTCAATAATTCTATACACCTAATAAAGTGGCCCTATTGCTTATATTACCAGAAAAAAACCAGACCAAACCACAATAAAATGCTCCACGGGGTGCAGCTTGATACGACCGCAGAGGTCGAACCCTGAACAGTTGGGGAAAGTATGGACACTACATTCAAGCTTGATACAGCTCTTCATTTGGATTGTGATTAAATATCATAGGTTTCTGACAAAGAATGAATGTGGTCAAAGAACTGAAAGTTTAAAAATTGGACTTTTACCTATTATGGTCCAATATCCAAAATATAAATACACGGTTAGATTCAGTATATCAAAGAACCCCAAGAATTTAGTTTTTGATGACATCAAAGAAAGTTAATTTTGGACACTTTGGACCTCAATGTGGACCAATTTGATAACAGGGTCCAAAATCAAAAATCTAAGTAGACGGTTTGAATCAGCATACGAAAGAACCCCATACAATCAATTTTTGTTGAAATCAAACAAAGTTTAATTTTGGACCCCGATTTGAACCAACTTGAAAACTGGGCACAAAATTAAAAGTTTAAATACATGTTTAGATTCGGCATATAAAAGAACCCTTTGAATTGAATTTTTGTTAAAATCAAATTAAGTTTAATTTTGGACCCTTTGGACTTTAATGTAGACTATTTTGAAAACAGATCCCAAAACATAAAATCTAATTACACGGTTAGATTCAGCATATAAAAGAACTCCAATAATTCAATTTTTGATGAAATCAAACTAAGTTTAACTTTGGACCCTTTGGACCTTAATGTGGACTAATTAAAGAACGGGCCCAAATCCAAAATCTAAGAACACGGTTAGACTCATCATATTAAAGAACCACAGGAATTCAAGACATTGAATTAAACCGCATTGAAATTGGTCAAGAAATAAGCAATTTATATAAAGTATTGTTGTTGGTCCCTTTTTACTAAACGGTTAAGGCCATAACCCCCAAAATCAATCCAACCTTCCTTTTATGGTATGGAAAAAAATAACAAAAATTCCGGCTTCCAAGGAAAATTCAAAACGGAAAGTCCTTTATCAAATGACAAAATGGAACCTTAATTGTGGTACAATTTCATAGAGATCCATAGACTTATACTCAAGTTATTGTCCGGTAAAAAGGATTTTTTGGCCCCTTATTCCTAAACAGCTAGGAAAATAACCCCTGAAGTCAATCCCAACCTTCTTATTGTGGTATTGAACCTTGTGCTACATTTTCATAGAGATCCATACACTTATACTCAAGTTATTGTCTGGAAACCAAAATGTCTTCGGACGACAAATGGTCACGGTCAAATGAACCCTGCCAGACAGACATGTACATCTTGCAATCATTTCATAAACCAAATATAGTTGACCTACTGATAAACTGACAAACATAAAAAAAAACCTTGATGTTGACTTATGAACCGTAAAAATAAGGTCAAGGTCATATGATCCCTGCCAGACGGACATATACACCTTACAATCATTCCATAAACAAAATAGTATACCTATTGCTTATAATATCTGATAAACTGACAAACATAAAAAACAAACTTGATTTTGATCTATGAATTGTAAATATAAGGCCATGACCATATAAATCCTGTCAGACTGACATATGTACACCTTACATGTACAATTATTCAATATGCCAAATAAAGTTGACCTATTGCTTATGGTAACTGAAAAACAGTCCAAAACACAAAAACTCAACATTGACCAATGAACCATAAAATTGAGGTCAAGGTCCCATCATACCTGCCAGGCAGACATGTACACCTTACAATCATTCCATAAACCAAATATAGATTACCTACTACTTATAGTGTTTGCAAACATACCAAAACACAAAAGCTTAACATTGACCAATGAAACATGAAAATGCTGCTGATGATGATGGATGGCTGCTTAACGTCCAGTGGCAAATTAATATGCATATTCAGGACGAGAACATGGTAATGTAAAATGAATATTAACCCTGCTTTGTACTAGACCGACACACTGAGCCGGATTTTTAACGTGCTAGTTATCAGTCCGCAGGAAGACACATCACCTTACCCGGACACATCATTCTGACTCCGAGCCGAACAGTCTTTGCTCTTACTCCTTAATGCCGAGTGCTTGGCGTAGAAGCAACAAATACTAATTTTGAATTGTGTGGTTTTTTTCCCGGCCGGGGTTCGAACCCACGACATCCCGCACTCGATGCGAACACGCTACCACGAGACCATCGATGCGGTACATGGGAATGAGGTCACGGTCAGATGAAACCTGCAAGACGGACATGTACAAATTACGATCATTCCATACACTAAACTTAGTGACTCTATTGCTTATAGTATCTGAGAAATAGATCTAACAACAATCACTTTACATTGTCTATTGAGTTATTAAAAAAGGTCAAGGTCAGATGAAACCTGCTACAACTGAAGCGCCCCGATTGCACATTTATTCAGAAAAAAAAACCATATTTATTTCTAGGGTTTAAAATACTTATATGCTTGGAGACCAATATACACGCATCATTATTAACATTTTTAGAAACAATGATGTTTAACTTTGAACCCAAAGTCAATCGGTTTCTTCCACTTTACCTGTCCCAGCCTTTACTAAATCTTCTATTTGTACAAGTGTGATTCCTATCTCAGGTTATCATCCGGAAACCATTTGTTACGGACGGACGAATAAAGCGATAGCATATATGTCACACTTTTGAAGTTCACATTGTTAAAACAAAAATGGTCAGATATAACATATTTTTTATCTAAATTTGTATATTTAAGATCGTAAATATAGGCTTTTTCTACTTTGTGTCTTTTGTGTTTTTGTTAGGGTTTTTTTTTTTGCATTGCATCAATCTGATAAGTTAAACCTTTTCAACTGATTTTGATAGTTTGTTCTGATGTACTGTTACACCACTGTCCTAGGTTAGGAGAGGGTTTGGCACCAGCGAATATTTTTAACCCCGACAATTCTGTATGTGCCTGTCCCAAAGTCAGGAGTTTGTAATTTAGTGGTTGTCGTTTGTTGATACATATATCTCATATTTTTTTTTCGTTTATTTGTACATGAATCTGGCCATTAGTTTTCTCGTTTGATTTTTTTATATTTGTCATTTCGGGGCCTTGTATAGCGTGCTGTGCAGTATGGGTTTTGCTCATTGTTGAAGGCCGTACGGTGACCTATAGTTGTTAACTTCTTTGTCATTTGGTCTGAATAGGTAAAAAATAAATACAACATATAGTTTAGAAATTAATTCTTGGTTCTGTATATCATTGAAATTTTTGCTGGGTTTATATTAGTTGAAAAAAAATGTTTATCCCGAGAGGTATAACTATGACACTCCCCCCCCCCCCCTAAAAAAATTATGAATGGTCAGTGTCTTAGTCGCATATGGTGATGTTATCAACAAGGAAAAAATGCCCTCCGCCTGGAGCAGCTGGATATGACCGCAGAGGTCGAACTCTGAACAGACGGGGCAAGTATGGACACAATATTCAAGCTTGATACAGCTCTGAATTTGGATAGTGATTAAATATTTGACACATGATAGATTTCTGACACAGAATAAATGTGGTCAGTTAAACTTAAAAATTTAAGCTGGAACATTTAATCTACTTAATGGTCCAATATCCAAAATCTAATTCCATGGTTAGATTCAGCATATAAAAATAAAACCATGAATTAAAACAAAGTTTAATTTTGGACCCTTTGGACCTTAATATGGACTAATTTGAAAACAGGGCCCAAAATTAAAAATCTGAATGCACAGTTAGATTCAGCATATCATAGAACCACAAGAATTCAGTTTT